CCTGAGGGGGTGGTGGGAAAAAAAAGCGGAGCAAAGTCAACAACTGTCAAAACGGTCTTTGAAGGCGACGAGACCGAAGAACATGAGGCAAATAAAAGATGAGTGAGGGATGCTCCATGCCGCGCTGACATCAAGTTAGTGACCACACACTAACAACAACAACCTCATTTTGGCCTGCGCTGACACATGCAAGAAGAAATGAGCGCTATCTAGAGGCAGGAACCAGCAAGTCACGCTGCATTCAGGTTCCAACCTCCCAAAATAACATCAAACCACCTCAAAAAGGCGCATTTCAGTCAGCATCAAAACTCTGCCAATGTTCTTTGACTTTTTCTTTGGCTTTGGAGAAGAAGAATAGAGACAGGAAGTTAACGTTTGTAACACACGAGAGGGGACATTTAATTTTCACTGGACTTTTTGATGTGTTCGAGACAGAGAGTTGCGAGTGTGGCGAGCTCAAGCATAAAATTCAACAAACATTAAATGTTGAGTTATTTAGCGACTTGTGAAAATGTTCTCTGTGGACGAGCTGTTCTCATATGTAGCCATTTTACACACACAAAAAATGTCATTTCCTGCTTTGTGGGGCTATCTGCTGGTCATTTTTCCTTCTGTTTCAGTTTCCTCGGCGTGTGCCAGTGGGCAGGGGCTCCTGCTGGCAATCATAATCAGCAGTACCTGCCAGCAGTACTTCCCATCTTCCACTTGTTTCCACGAAGTATTACCTTCTGCTGAGCCAAGGAAAGTGATGTAAATATTCTGTGGCTGCTATTTGTTATTGATTTGAATAAATTCAGATTAAGGGGGCAGCACGGTGGTCAACTGGTTAGCATGTCCTCCTCACAGTGCAGAGGGGCAGGGTTCGATTCCAGCTACGGCCTTCCTGTGCAGAGTTTGTATGTTGTTCCCATGCCCGTGTGGGTTTTGTCCGGGTATTCCGGTTTCCTTCCACATTTCGAAAATATATATGGCAGGCTAACGGAACACTTTAAATTGTCCCGAGATGTGATTGTGAGCGAGAATGGTTGTTCGTCTATGTGTGCCCTGCGATTGGCTGTCAACCGGTTCAGGGTGTACCCTGCCTACTGACTGAAGACAGCTGGGATAGGTTCCAGCACACCCCGCGACCCTAAGAAGCGGATTAGAAAATGGATGGGTTAATATTATTGTGGTAGTCTTCGAAATGTACTGTTTTTGATTGTACACTTATTGACGATAGATGGATAATTTACATTTTATCTTGTAGCCTGCCAGGAAGTAGACGGGTCCTGTGGCACAAGCCTGCTCTCGACATGGATTAGCAGCGAGCAGCAGAACACACACACACACACACACACATCCACACAAATATTAGAAGTTGTGAGCGCGCGCACACAGACACACACAAACGCACGCACACACACAGTGATGTTGGTCTTACTTGGGGGGGCTCCAGACAGGTTAATCTGAAAGCCTGGAGGCGAGAACACAACGTTTACTTCCTGTTCAACAATTTCTTGTTTGGATCGACATGCACGTGCAACATCCAACATGGCCAACGCGGAGGCGTGAGGGTGAAGCGGGCGAACAGACGTGAGAAATGATAAATAATTTATAGAAAGTGGCCGGAGGGTGTTCTCCTTGTGGCCAGTCTCACCGTCGTTGCGCATTAGCGAGCGTTAGTTAGCAGCATGGAGTGAAAAGTCAGAGTAGGATGAGAAAACATGGAATCATCACATTGTACAGGAACACTGAAAGTAGTCTTTGCAATAAATCGTCATCACCAAGAGCTCCCCGCTTGGGGAAAAAAAAAGGACCCCCCGAAACCAGTTTACTTCAACTTGCAAACCAAAGCAAAGAAGGAAAAGGTTGACTCCCATCACCGCGTCTGATCATGAAAATACGGTTACATGACAGCTAGTCACCATAATATCACGATTCTCAATCATATGATAATAGCCCGCTAGCCATCGATGGGATGGGAGCATGTGGGGGGCTGACGTATACTCCCCTCACAAAAAAGTTTTTTTATTTAACCCTTTCATGCACCCTGCAACCTGCTAACATGATAAGCTGTCCACTGTAGTAACCGCTGTCCCTGAAAAGGGTGAATTTATTTCATCCAGTACCAAATGGCAGTGGTTGGTGACCACCGGTGTCGGAGGTGAGGTAGCCATTAAATATGATGGTCCACATTGACTGACAAAGAAGAATCTATCAGTCTAAATCAACAAGGCCGTTGTTTATCACAATTTTATATCATCATATGTAGAAAGCTGGATGAGCATCCTGCAAGTGGGGTGATTCCATCCTTCTTTTTGTTTCTTATCAACCTATTAAAGATCACTAGTCGTGTTATTTTCTCCCTTTTATTGTGGATTCAAGATTAACATGCAACTACATAACCAGAGAAACCAAGCCATCATGGCAAGAATGTGAAATTAGTCACAGATAAGAAGTGGGTCAGTAGGAAGGCTCATCTCTTGTTACCTACACGAACTTGCAGTCAATTCAATGAAATGGGAGTATTACCTGTTTCACTCTGACACCTCCAGCACGTGTTGGCATCTGAAAAATGGGAACATTTTGCATCAGGTCCTTCATTTGACACAGCGTGTTTAAAGATAAACGTTCAACAAAGCTTCAACTTGTATGAAAGTGAAAAGATGACATTTTGGATCAATTCATAAATTTGAGATTGAATCAAGAAAGATGCATAAACAATGATAAGCGCTTCATTGCAAGGCAAGCCTACCAAAAGCCAAGGTGAGAACTGGCTCACTTCATATTTCTCACTTCATATGGTATCTGATAGCTCGATATGACGTGCTCTCAACCGGTGTGGCTGTGAAAGTTTCTGGATGAGGTTGGCGTGTAAAAAAATGGACTCGTCGCCCAGGGTCAACTCCTCAAGTGCCACCGAGTGTGTTCAAGTGCCTGAAGAATGAAGCCAAGTTTAGACACAACCGGAGTCGTGAATGTCAAGGGTGTTGCAGTTTCATCGGAGATGACTCCACAGCAATTAAGGAAGCAAAGATATCGATGTCATTGTAAACAGATGTTCAGAGAACATTTATCAAAGTGAATTGCTTTTAAATTGTGCATTTATGGAAGGTAGTTGTCCGGGCTCCACCAAGAGGAAACAAGGGAGGTCACAGTTATAAAAACCAAAAATGACTCAAAAGAAATATTCAGGTAGTATGTGGAATTGTACTTATTGGTTTGCGAGATGTGATTCGGTGGCGTCTCCTTGCTTAGTGCCCCATGGGACTGTTTTGGTTCAGGGAGTAGCCAAACACCCAAGCGAACTCCTAGTTTAATTGATCAAAAAGAATTGGAAGGACTATCATAACATGACAAAAAAAAAAAAAAAAGGCTGAAGCATACATGCCCGAATTCATAAGGAAATTGGTTATTTAGAGACATGATGGCGGCGCGGACACCCGCAGCGTCTCCTCTTGTTTTATGTTGAGAGGGAAGAAATTTATGTTACACATACAGCACATTTGACAATAAAGTTGTATTCCATTCAATTCAATTCCTTGAGTCGGGCCCCGATGACTGTCAGGAAAAGAAAATGAGCTTAAGACACCACTTTCTCTGACTGATATGAAAATAAGTGGATGTCTATTATAGTGGGACATGAGAAAAAGTCTAAAATAATAATAATAGCCACCCTAGGCACCACTTTCATTGATGATTCGATGAAATGAAAGCATCTCAAGGCCCAATACCCCAAATTTACAAGGATGTGAGCCATTTGGGCAAATCCCCCCAGTTAGACGGATGGACATTAATTTAAGTCACGAATATCAAGGATGTTGCGGTTTAAACAGGGTTGTCGCAACGCCGATTGAGTACCCTCGCGTTGATGAAGCGAATACGTAAATAACAATAGAAATAGACGTTCAGAAAATATTTGGCAAGAGATTTGTTTTGGCAGCGCGCAGTTTTTGAACGGAGTTTGGTATAACTCTGTTGAACGTACAGGTAATGCGATATATTGTAAATGTTTGTTGGTGATATTTGATCCGGCGGCCGCTCCTTGTAACGCCCCCCTCCCTCCGCGGGAATGTTCTCAGTCCAGGAGAGCAGCCGGCCGGAGCCCCCCGCGGCTAATACCCGAGCTAGAGTTCACCTTCGCCGGGATTCATCCATCCGTCCACTGGCTGGCTCACTCGCCCACTCACTCACTCACCCTGCAGGCTGCTCACGCTGCTAATATGCTGCAAAGCCTGATGGTGGCCAGCAGCGGTGGCGTTCACCGTGCCGCCGTTGTTACTGCTGGCCGCGGAGGTCTTGTTCGGACCGGGACTCGCCATTGTTGTGTGTTTAAATTCCATCAGCGGCGCCGGGCCGGCGGCGGCGGCTGTCTGGTTGTCGAGCTGCCTGGCTGCGCTCAGACGCCTCTCCTGCTTCGGCCCACGATCAATACTGTCCGCTCCGCAGCACCATGCAGCCCCCCGGGAGGCTGTTGGCCGGTGTGGAAGCCGGTAGAAATTGAGAGATTGTGGTTGAGAAACAGCTTGTGAGGAAGCTAGCTACCTGTGAAGGAAGGTGGCGCTCACAACAACATCAGCGAGGCGAGGCGAGGCAAAGCTAAACTAAGCTAAGCTAAGCGAGGAAGCTTGCAGCGATCAGCTGACCAAGTGACATTGACATCTCTCTCACCCCCCCCCTTCTCTTTTTTCACACGAACAAATCGTTTTTTTCAAATTAAAATGCCTTAATTATTTTTTATTCAGTGACACTAAAATATACTATTTCCCAGGATACTGCTGTATTTTTTCATGTTACACTTTAGAAATACTTTTTTTTTTTTTTACATGCATTGTTGGGGGATGTTCAAATTCTGACCCGTGACCGCCCACGCGCACTAGCTAGCAAATTAGTAAAAAAAAAAACAAAAAAAAACGGACATAGTTTTTACTCTTACTTGCTTTTGGAAACAAGTAACATGTCTTGTTACCCATTTTGTTTACATTTATGTATTTTTTTTTTTGATCAGTTGACGTTGCTTTTTATTTTGGGTTTTTATTTGGATTGTCCACACATGTTATTTAACCAAAACAAACTCGGAAGGGAGGCTAAAAAAACTTTAGAAACAAGCATTTTAACGTTTTTTGACAGTGACACGCCTTTTACACTGGCTTTTGTTGATTGACGCTTGACATGTCAACGCCCCACGACACGAGCCAACCACACACTCGCTAACCAAACAAACCCGGAAGTGAGGCTAAAAATAAACTTTAGACCGAGGCCTCACTTCAAGTCTGCCAAAAGTAACTTTAGTATGGGAGGTTAATTAATTTAAATTATAACAATAATAACTTTCAAGTTTCGTTTAAGGCTCATTTTTAGGCCTATTTTGAATGTGTGTTAAATTCACCATCACAAGCTAGTCTCTCCGCTCAAACTTGATTAATAAAATCCAAGATGACGTAATTGTCTTGATTGCTCAAACTAACTTTATTAAGACAAAGTCCAGTATTTTACGAACGAGGTGCCAGTACAGTTGGGCGCTAGCGATGAATGAACCAAACGAACATGGACGACAGTGAAAAGGCAAATTATAGTCCGATCCCAACCAGCGACTCGGCGGGGACCCTTGAAAAAGGACGCCTGGATGTCTCGTGCGGGCGGCCGCAGACGAGGATGGCTCTCCAACTCAACACGTACACGGCGACCACCTGGATGCTTGTTGTTTGGCGAGCGTGCAATGGGATGATGGCATTATTCTTTGGCTTGGCGACGTACGTACAGGTGAGCTTGTATACTTGAACAAAGTTACTCACGTTGAAACAACAACAACAGCAGCACCACCGTGAACTTTTGTCTGTGTTGGACAGATCAACGACCCGGATGCCGCTTTGTGGATGGTAAATAATAAAGACATAAAATAAAACATAAATGTAAAACCTTCAAGTCGAGTTTTTCGGAAATAGTAATCGCTTTGCGCAATGTTTCTGTTGTAGGTGGGCTATGGCATTCCTGCCTTCCTCTGTGCGCTCATTGGGCTCAAACCCCACGTGACAGGTACGCAAAGCATTGATACCTCAATCTGATTGGCCCGTTGCTGCCGTAGTCAGCGTTGACCATCGCCATTTTGGATGTGGCATGTCTGCCTCCGCGACTCAACGCAAGGAATTGAATTTAATAAGGACATCCTACAAATTGATGCCTCTCGTTCATTGTTGCGGGAATCCGCAGGATTTAATTTGTATTAATATAAGTATTGTACACAGGATTTAATAGTGTAAACCACAGTCAGCAATCTCTGTAGGCAAAAAGTTAAAATAGCCAAATACAATGAAAAGTAAATGTTCCTTCCAATTAAATCTCAACTTTTGATTGCTCTGTGCTGCTGTTTCTGTTTTTGCAGAGATGTTAGCATGGAGGCGTGTGGCTGACTTGCACATAATGCTGTGCACTGGCATGCTCCTCATCATTGGATGGAAGCTTTACAGGCAGAACACAACAGGCCTCTTCCAAGAAGAGGAGGCCAGGTAGGTGAAGAGTATGCAATGAACCCCCAGACCTGCCCGCATTATGGGACCATCTACGTTTTCAAGTGATCATAATACATACAGTATAACTATTTATTTATTTCGAATAATGTAGTAATTAAATTAAAATACACGTTGAAAACATGTACGCCTCATAATCATATCTATCTATCTATCTATCTATCTATCTATGTATTTATTTATTTATTTTTAGAGAGTTTGGTGGTGTGGTGTTGACGATTTTGTGGCTTCTGCTGTGTCGTCACTCCGGAAGGTGCAGTCAACTCAACCACATTAACACGTCACAGTTTTATGACAATATCTTGACGTTTGATTGACTTACATCCACCTTTTGTGGTCCTCCAGGTCGGCGGTGGGCAAGTTGAGAGTGTCGGCCGCCATTCTCGTCACACTGTTTCCATTTGTGTGCTGGTTTTACTTCCATGTCCACGAGGAGCTACGTGCCAACTGGCCGTCACACTGCAAGACTGCACTGTAATGGCAACAAAAGGACATTTTATTTGGTGTATGACTGAAAATTGTAAACTAATAACAGTGTTTTATGAAGCAAGGCGTTTTAATGTATTTTATAAATTGTATTTAATTAAAAAAAAAATTCTATGATTTAATAAGTTACAAGTAGTTTGTTCCAGTTATGTAATTGTCCAGTGATTGTGTGCTCAGTACAAGCATTATTAAAGTTAGTAAAAGGGAAACTATTTTTGTGCAGATTTTTTTCCATTATTATCCAAATGAATATTGCATAAAATTGACAGTAAATTTCATGTTGTCTTTTTGTACGAAGGACTGTTCACTTTGTCTATTTTTTTTTTTTTTACTTTATATAAAGCAGTTGAATCAGAGTTTCTACATTTAAGTTTTTTGGTATCCATACTTGGAGTCAGTAATTGTGCCACCTCTAATTACCGTAAAACGTTTGACTAAATTAACAGTGGTAGTTACATTTACATCCTCTAGAGGGCAGCACAGAAACTTAAACGAATGGCTAACACGAAGAAGACACCACGTCTGTCTCCCGTTGATCTGAGAGCAGCCTTGGCGTCTATTATGACCTCTGGCGCTTGAAAGATCTGATCTGAGACCAGCACTTTTAACGGGCGAGTTCCGGTTTCTCTTTGGTCACATTTTGTAAACTTGCAGGTTCGGTAAAAGATGTCACTAAGGGTTATGTTTTACCATCTGGGCTGCAAACGGTTTGGCGGTTATGATCAAGTCTTACAAAGCGTCAGATATTTCCACCGACTCATACGAAGAGACCTCGAACCGATGCGCACGCTGTCACCGCCGCCGACAAGTGTCTGCTGCCGAGTAGGTCATTTCACAATTTCACCACCAAAGTCCGTTCAGAAAAGTGTCAATTTAACGTTCTGCTCTCGATTGACGCTGTCAGAGTGCTTTTGATGGAAAAGTATGTCTATTACTTTGGTTTTACAACTATACGGCACAATGTCGAAAGCTGTTTATTATATTGTCCGTGCAATTTTAGCGTATTAAAAGCTTTAGTGTCCTTGGTTGAATGTTGATTTGTTCACACTGCTGTAGTGTGGCTATATAGCAGCACGTGCTCAAGATTTATAATTACATAGTTAATTTGTTAGACAGGTGAACATGTCAGATAACTCATCCCTAATTTGATTGACAGGTGAATGTGAGGCAGTGGCACTCCTGCCTAGCAACACGATATCAACATCTGCAAAGCGCCAAGTGGTTTTCCACGCTTCCTCCACCGCCTTCATCGCGGGACAAATCCAAAAAGTCTGGGGTGGGTCTTTTTGTTCGTAAAATTTCTTGACAAAAGTCACCTTCCATCATTCAGATGCGTTGTTATTTCTGTAAGCTGTCTACAGTGAACCCGTTTATCACGGACAGTAAATTCCATAGCACCCACCATTGGTGAAAATTTGTGAGATAGAGCAAAAACATTTGTTATTGTTTTACTCCCTCAACATGCGTTAAATCTTGAAATGTGCACATTTTTGACGTTGCATGAAGCTTGCGGCGGTAGGGCTCAAAATGAAAATGAAATGAAGTGTCACTACATGAATGAATTTTTACTGCATTTGAATCTGTAGTTATTTTTTTCACAGAATTTTTGAACACAAAAAGCTGTGAAAAAGAGTCACTCTGTGGGTAGATGAGTTCTGAAAAAAACAAAACGTGATGATGCAGGCGTTCTTTCACTGTCTTTGTTTCAGTACATTAACGATTGAGATCATAGCCTGGAAATGTTGAAATAATGGTGTGAATTTTTCCTGTAAAGCCCGTGACGTGGAAATCTTTAGCAGTAACTTTCGCCATCGGGGGAGCTCTGCTCGGTGGGATGAAATACTTCAAAAGTGAAAAAGAAGAATGTAAGTTACCGCGTACATGTTTACACGTGCCTTGGCTTACGAGCTTTGGCACGAAACAAATTAAATCCGTAAGTCAAGGCAGCACCGCATTGAGGTGTCCCTAACGATGCAATGGGGTTGCAGTGATGGAAAAAGAGCGGAACAAGTCGATGGGGCGACCGGCGCTGGGCGGACCGTTCTCGCTGGTGGACCATAACAGGAAGTCGGTGAGCAGCGATGACTTCCTGGGCCAGTGGGTGTTGATCTACTTCGGGTTCACGCACTGTCCTGACATCTGCCCCGACGAGCTGGAGAAGATGATGGAAGTGGTGGACGAAATTGGTAAATAAGATTCCTGTGATTCCGGTCGTGCGCCACCATAGGTTAATGGTGATCTACTTTTTTAGTGAGATTTTTTACATACACATACACGTGAAACTGATAGGATGCTTAGGGTGCAGTGTACACTAACACAAAAATATATTATTCAGAATGCACGGAGACGCACAAATCTACAATTACCGGTCGACCACGGTCGACTGATTGGGCATTCCTGGCAATCGCTTAACAATACAGGATAGCCGGCGTTCACTGTACTCGTGATCCAGGAGCAATGGCAGGCGGTTCTGATCCAATTATAATGCCTTGTTTGTTTGTTTTTTAATCCAGACAAAATCAAGTCTCTGCCCAAGCTGACGCCCATCCTCATCACCATTGACCCTGACAGGGACACCCCGGAGGCCATGGGGGCCTACGTCAAAGGTACGGCGTCGTGTCAGAAACATGACCAAACAGAAGAGAAACAATTGATTACTGCTTGATCTTTGGATATGGACTGAAAGAAAAAAAAATTGAGGAATACACCGTTAGTTCCCTGGCATGTGGGCAAGGAGAGCCACACTCGCTGTTTATTGATCTTGCAGTCAAACACAAAAATCGAAACTGATACTCACGAGGTGCTGCTGTAGACCACAACTCACGCCCAGATGCTCACACACAGACCAACCGGCCAAGCTGACTTCCGCAAATTGTCACAGCAGACTTGACGTCACTTGAGACATCCTGACTCGACTTCTTCCGTATATGGCTCAGCAATTAATAATAATAATAATAATAATATGCAAAACCTTTGGGGGCTTTTCACGTCGGTAATGCTTATTAATTGTTGTCCACGTGTTTTTCTAGAGTTTTCTCCGAAGTTGATAGGCCTGACGGGGACGACGGCTCAAGTGGAGCAAGTGTCGAGAGCTTACAGAGTTTACTACAGTCAAGGACCCAAAGACGAAGACAACGACTACATCGTGAGTGACCGCCAACAATCATGGAATAATGTCTGTCGCTCGTAGTATGCAGATGTCAACCAGTGCAGTTTTGACTCACTAGTTCCGTGTAGTTGTCCTACTAGTTTGCCTAACATGACACTAGTAGAATGGCTGTATGTGTGCTGCCAACTGTGTTTTACTAGTACTACTACTGGAAAAAAATCTTAGTTATTGATGATTATTTATTTTGAGTAAAATGTACTCCCCTTGAACTGGATATCAAGGATGTCGACAATGCTGTTGAGTCGGGGAATTCTCTCCTTTTTCCATATGTGGCATTGTTTGACATGTTTGTGGCGTTTGTCAGGTGGACCACACCATCATCATGTACCTGGTCGGACCTGACGGACACTTTGTGGACTATTTTGGTCAGAACAAAAGAAACACGGAGATCTCCAACGCCATCGCAGCTCACATGAGGAAGTACAAGACGGAGAAGTGATTGGACACCAAACGGGACAAATAAACGCTAAACGAGAATGAAAAGTAGGTTTTGTTGTTGGTGTAAAAAAATGAAAATATATTTATCAAAATTTGTACCAGACTCCTTGTCTTTTGTCCTGAACACAATAGCTCCTTGCACGCATTTTATTTTGTTTTTTTCAATAAACGGCTAAAAGCGCATTGCCGACTGGCTCTCCTTGCCCACCTGCAAGGGCATTACAGTCCATTAATTGCTGTATTTATTTTTTCTCACTGCACTCAAGCAGTGGATTATCTGATGCTAGCATGGCCCACAAGAAAAAGCAAAAAACTGTCAAAGAGACAGCTCACAACTTGGAATAACAAAAGTTTGTAAGTCTAGGTACCACTGTATACTCAATCATGTTTCAGCTAAATCACAGGATCAGCACTTGCTTGACAGGCAGTCGTTTGTTAGGTTAAAAAAAATTAGAAATATGAAGGCGATGTCATTTCACCCTTTTAGGGACAGCGGTTACTGCAATGGACAGCTTATCAGGTTACGGGGTGCATGAAAGGGGTGGGAAAAAAAACCCACACTAGCTTCTGCTTCCCAGTTTGCTTGGACCGGCGTTCCATGTGACACTGAAAGTTCCATCAAATGAGGGACTTGTCACAAAATGACCACAAGGTTCATGTTCGTATCAGTTGAGTCTGATAGAGAAGATCACATCTGTAAGCAGTTGGCAAAAACGCTCGTGGAGTCCTCCTGATTTCCAGACCTGGCTTTGACTTTGGCTTTGGAATTGGTTCCAGTCTGTCGGTCAAGAAGCAAAGCTCCTTTATTCTCCATCAAACACTCAAGAGATGTCATCCACTTCTCCATCCGCATCATCCTCCTTCGCTGATTCGTAGTTGTCTACCTCTGAATCTTCAGGTTCCACCAGCCCACCTGGTTCTTCACCTCCGAGGCTCAAAACTCCACCAGGATTGTGCCCACCTGGCTCTTCATCACCATCGATGTCCATCACTGCACCAGGGTTGCCATTGAGGTTCTTCATACCACATAGATCCACCGACGCAAGAAGACCTTCTCCATCATATTCCACCACTCCATCATCAGCATCCAACCATCCATGTTCTTCACCATCAAAGTACAAGGTCTCACTAAGTTTGTGTTCTACTCCTTCGAGGTTTTTTGCACTATCAAGAAGCTCCACATCATGACCAATGAGCCATCTGCCACCCACGGCTTCGTGAGTTTCGTCTTCACCGTCGAGTTCCTCCACACCGCGAGGCTCCTCGTCTCCGTAGCCTTCATCACTGCCTCTGACGGCGATGTAGTCGTCGACGGGCGCAACGGCCATGTGGGCGAGAGTGGTCTCCTTGTAGGCACAGTCATCAATCAGGTGAGTCATGGTCACGAAAGCGTGATTGAGGCCTTGCCTGGGCGTGGCTCTGCTTCCGGCATCCACGCTCAGGAACCACTTCAGGAGGCACACGAACTTGAGCCAGTCGTCGTACTCCACGGTGGAGCTGCTCTGCAGGAATCTCATGGCCAGGTCTTCAAATGAGGACCCCAAGTCTAGATTAAATCGAAATATGGCCGGCTCGGTGCTTGCCGACAAGACTGTCCAGTGCTCGTCCTCGCTCACAGTGAAGTAGTCGCTGCTGTACTTGCCCTCATTGAGAAGATGATCCGGAGGCTGACCAAGGAGCTGACAAATGGTTTCCATGCTCCCTCGAAGAGACGGCCAATCAAAGAGCTCGAATCCAAAGAAGAGGTAAGCGATGGTACACCCCAGAGACCATATGTCGATGGCCTCAGACAGGGGCAGACCCAAGGTCACCTCTGGGGCTCGGTAGGCCTCGGCCTGCAGAATCATACCCACGTGCACCGACGTGATTGGTCGCGCCAAGCCAAAATCAATCAGCTTGACTCGGAAGGGCAGTTTCTTATGGTCTACTAGCATGACGTTGTCTGGTTTCAAGTCCGTGTGAGTGATTCCTAACGCCTGCAGGGCCTCAAATGCCATCAGGAGCTGTGAAGTGACCGGTCGGATTTGGTGGAGGTTGAGCGGTGTCATGTTTCTTTCCGTCATCAGGTCCTCTAGGCTCTGGTCCAGCATTTCAAAAACCAGATACGGGTAGTCCTGGAAAACGAAGTGTTCAATGAACCTCACCAAGCTGTTCCTGTTCTTGTCCAGGAAGCGGATCTTCTGCAGGGCTTGCACCTCCTGGTGGAAGTTGTTCATGTTGCATCTTTTCATGAGCTTGACAGCCACACGGTCCGACGTGTTCAGGTTGAAGCACTTGGCCACAATTCCGTAGCGTCCCTCTCCCAGCACACTCAGAACCTTGTAGCTGTAGCACTTGCTGGAGAAGACCTCATCATAAACCTGCTGAGGGCTGTCACACTCTTTGTGTTCTGTGGACATGTCTGACATTTTGGCGGAAGTCTCTTTCTTGTGCCTCCCAAACATGACCAAAAAAAAAAAATAATAATAATAATAATAATAATTAAAACAAAAAACAAAAAATGGAGCTCATTTGAACTTACAAGCGCAGTAAGCGCGCAGACAAACAGACAAACGCAACCCCTTTGTTGGTGATGCGCAACAGGGCTTCAACCCCTCAAGCACCGATGTCACAAGCTGCTTGTGTGATGTGGTGACATCATCACAAGGGTGGGATACACCCAGTGCACTAATACTACAGTATACACAGTAACTACCCTTTATCAACCATTTTATTTATTTAGATACTCCTATTTTATGATTATACAATACAGCATTCCCCTGCTCTTCGTGGAGGACGGGGACTGCTGCGAAAAATGAAAATCCATGAGTAACTGACGTGCCTCCTGAAAATCTTTCATACTTGTTTGCTTATAGGTGGCACAAGAGAGCATCAAAGCTCCTCACATCACATCAACATAGTTGTCGGCCTCAAGATGCTACAAGATGGTGACAAAGTAGTACTTTTATTGCTTTCACCTGAGCACAAAAACAGCAAATGGCTGTTTGTTTGTTTTTTTCTCAGCGAATACCAGAGGATGTGTGCCAAAAACAATTTGCCGCCTGGTGAATTTGAGAGTAGTAAATGCAAATATGCGGGGCTCACAGTACAGTGTATTTTTCTTTCTTAAAAACTGGACATCATTTGCTTCAGAAAATCTGGAAAGTGAAGGTGATGTCATTGTTCCTAAAAACCCGTCTGCCAGGAATTCTGATCCAAAAACACACACACACAAAAAAAAAGAAAGTTTCCAGTCCTCTTCATGTTCCAATACTGAAGTATTAAAATAACCCGACAGGCTGCGCAGCTGCTACGTTCCTCCATTGGAGGGCGGATTAGTAATGCAAACATTCTCCTTTTCGACACGGAGCGCTTTGACTTCTGAACTAATCACTGCCTTTCAAAAAGTCATTCTAACTGTCTGCAGGGCATTCGGAGTCTAAATCACTTCAGTCGTTCGAATAGGCGACTCAATGGGTTCACATGCCACTCACTTGCAGTACTGCTGGGAAGTAACCAAGTACAAATACTTTGGGACTCTACTGAAGTCAGTTTGTCAGGCATCTATCCGTTATTTGATTATTTATTTTGGGATAACAAATTCTTCCATGTTTTGTTGTTTGTTTGTTTTTTTTGGTTTGTTTTTTTTTCCAAGTCATTCCATGCAAATTAACAGGAATCTACAAATTTTAAGGTTGGTTCTTAGTACAGTAAAGTTCAGATTTTATGTTTGAGTACAAGCCTGACTAAACCAACTAAATTTCACACATTGGCTGACGAGTTTTTCAAGTTCGGAGGCATCGATTAGTCCATTTTTGTGAGCCAACTTTGTGATTGTAAAATGCAGCTCTTCAACTCAGATCAACATAGTTCCCTGATAGCCTGCCGATGAGCTGATCACTGAATTTGGTGTGTTGGAGGAGGGAAACATCTAAAAAATGCAGGATGGCGGCCCTCGGGACCGGAGTTTTGAGACCTAGGGTCAAAATGAAGCTCTTCAGTAGTTCCTTGACACAGTGATACCACAAGATGGCACCAAAGTAAGGCTTTTATCATTTTGGTTTAAGCACATAAAAAAAGAAAATTGGTGAGTTTTCAGCAACTAAGAGAGGAGAGGTTGAGGGAAAAAAACGGTGTACTGTATTTTGTTTTTATATAAAACTGAACGATTTTTCTTGATTATAACCCCATTACACAGAAAGGAGAGGGCTGTAATGGATTCATGGCAATTCAATATCATTTTAAAAGGGTAAACTGATTTGAAACTCGGGCAAGGAATAAATTAAACTCAGTCAAGGCACCATTGTGGCACAAATAATGGCGCACCGATAACAATCAGGATCTATTAGGATGACCGATTGCTGATTGGTCGAGTGCGTATTTGACATCAGGCAGATGACCAACATATTCAGACGATGGTCTTTGGGCGGATTAGGCCAATCAGAAGGCGACGGCATGAGCAAATAGTGAATAACCGCTGGCCACCAGGCCAGCTTCTCCGTCTGGCTTTCACAGTGACGCCCCGAACGATGGCTTAATCCATCGTGAGCCTCCCAAATGAGGCCTGTAAGCCGGCGCCCTGGAGTGTTCATTGCTTTTTAATGCGGGGTGCAGAGGGTTAAAGTGCTTAAAAGGGACACACACCGGCTAAACTTAGAGAAAAATCACATAGTTGTGCTCCAAAAATAGCAGGGGAAGGCTGACAAAGAGGTGAGGATCCCGTATAAAAGCGGCCCCGCGTGTGATCCACCGGCGACTGTCGGCAGCGCGTGGTTATCACCTTCACGACTTCTTAAAGACTTCGGCTGACATCGGTCGCGTGAGTATGACATCATATGGTTTAGATATTTTGGAGTGAAGTCGAGTTTCCTTCTCATGTGGAACAAATGGCTCTTCGAGGAATACAGTCGTCCCTTGCCATATCGCGGTTGACTTTTTGTAGATTCACCATATCGCGGATTCTTAAATTGTACATACCTATCGCAGGTTTTACACTAGCTCACGGATTCTTTGCTTATCAGTTTCCTGCATGGACTAATGTTACTGCAGACCCAGGCACTAATAGGTGCAAGCCAGAATGGAAGAGTGTCGAGAAAACAGAGAATGTCCAGAATTTGGGTTCATTTCACACTTCGCAAAAGAAGATAGAATGCAACAACACTACTGCAAAGCAGTACACTACACTAAAGTTAACATCGCTAATTTAACACACTTCGTTAAAATGGATGGTAACTGAACTAAGGTTAAGAAAATCAACACAAAACGAGCACATTCACATACCTGACACCCAGAGGCACTCACACTGGCTACCAGTTAGCCACATAGCAGCCTGTTGCTATCCAGAGCCAACAATTCTACACTTTCACTCGCTGACCCCGACGTCACTCACCAGGCTAGACCCTGCCTTTCAAAGCACACAGATGTGCAAAGTCACAGATGCTACACAAGGATGTCAACCCCAAGTAGTCAAAAATAAGACCTGCACGTGACATGCATGTTTAATCTTCGTGTTATGTTAAGTGTAAAACTACTGGAGCGCATTTCATGTTCACCCTGAAATTTCAAACAAAATCTCAAATTCTTATGAACAGTGTCTAAAACGTTTTCCCTCTTGCTGATCCAGCAAGCATCCCGAGAGAGAAGATGAGCGACGCCGAGATGCAAGTATTTGGGGTGGCGGCCCCCTACTTGCGCAAAACTGAGCGGGAACGAATCGCGGCCCAGAACGCGCCGTTCGATGCCAAGGCGGCCGTCTTCGTGCCCGACCCCAAGCACGAGTACGCCAAGGGCAAGATCAAGAGCCAAAACGGCGGCAGCGTCACCGTGGAGATTGACGGCGGCAGGGTGGGACAATTAGGGGGTTTTAGCCCCTTCCCTAACCATGTGTTGTTTTTCAGTATGTGCTATGGCATAGGTGTCAAAATCAAGGCCCGGGGACCAGATGTGGCCTGCCACATCATTTTGAGTGGCCCGCGAATGCAAATCAAAGATGACAACTTCCATGATGCTTGCTAAAATCTGTACCAAAAGTTCAAATTTTCATATGTAATAAATCAGTGACATATTGTTAGCATTTTCTTGTTACCAAACCTCTCATAAAAGTTACTTCAACAATCGTTGAATCAAACGTAATTCTTGACTTCTTTATATCGTTTCGGTATTCACGGCCCTCCAAGGGGATCAGTAATTATAATGTGGCCCGTGACAAAAATGAGTTTGACACCCCTGTGCTATGGCAACCAGTCGGTGTTTGTCAATATATGCCCTTGTTATAAAATCCATTCCAGAAAGTGTCTCAAGAGTGCCTCGTTGTGTTCAGGTGGTGACAGTACACCCGGACGATCTTTGGCCTATGAACCCGCCAAAGTTCGACAAGATCGAAGACATGGCTCGTTTGACACACCTCCACGAGCCGGCGGTGCTTTTCAATCTCAAGGAGCGATACGCCGCCTGGATGATTTATGTGAGGACGAGTGGCGCATTTATTCAATATGCAGCTGAAAAGTCCACATACTAGCACACTCTTCATCCTCACTAGTAATGGAATTCAGTGTACGAGAAATGCACCTTAAGATGGACATCAAGAATCTCAAATTAACGTAACGAACTGCTAACAGAGTGCTCATGTTTTGTCTTCTCATTATTCTCCAGACGTATTCTGGTCTTTTCTGCGTGACCGTCAATCCCTACAAGTGGTTGCCCGTCTACAACCCCGAAGTGGTAGCAGCATATCGCGGCAGGAAGCGTCAGGAAGCCCCCCCACACATCTTCTCCATTTCGGACAATGCTTACCAATATATGTTGACAGGTGAACTCCAAAGACACATATTGCAGACTATACAGTGAGCTCCCGCTATATCATGTTTTAGCATTTGCGGCAATACTCCATCTGAGGCATTTCACCTTGTGTCTTAAAGTTAGTCTAGTGGAGTTTGGTTAGGTGTAATGACTTGGTTTAGTTAGTTGAACCATATCCTTTATATTTACAGATCGAGAGAATCAATCCATCCTCATCACGTGAGTTACACACAACATTGCCAATCCTCTTTTCTAAAAATGTCCCACTTGCTCACTTCTGATGGCGTGCTCATTGTCTCTTAGAGGCGAATCCGGTGCGGGCAAGACGGTCAACACCAAACGAGTGATCCAGTACTTTGCAACAATTGCATCAGTGGGAGACTCCAGCAAAAAGCAGCAACTTCCTGACAAAGTGCAGGTGAAGCCCGTTGAAGTTTCCACATAGAGTAAGCATGTTCAAGAACGTGGGATGAGTTTGATGTCCTCACTGCCAGGGAACGCTAGAGGATCAAATCATCCAAGCCAATCCTCTGCTGGAAGCTTTTGGGAATGCCAAGACCGTGAGGAATGACAACTCTTCCCGATTTGTGAGCTCCGACTCCACCTGTTTCATCTGGGTCCTGTCAGAATGTGACTCTAATCTTCAATAATGACAGTAACCTTTCATTTGTCTACACTACACATATTCAATTAGTATGGAAGTGTCTCTGCGCCATTTGAAATGGCATCTCTCATGCAGTTCTTTTCAACATCGAATTTATCAGTTTTGAAAAAGAGAACTATATCTAATCCAAATCTATCTAAAAAAAAATCCAAACCTAAAATCCGTCTAAAGAAAAAGAAGACTGTAAAAACATACATTGAAATCCAAAGTCAAGTGGCACAGATATCTTTCCACAGATCACAAACATCACAAGCAATGACAGCAAAGCAAAATGATTTTGAATCTTTGTGCAGGGGAAATTTATCCGCATCCACTTTGGTACGAAGGGCAAGTTGGCTTCAGCTGATATCGAAACATGTACGTTTTTGCTTTTATTGTTGATAAAGTGTAATACAGTCAATCCCCTTTCACTGCTAGCTTAATGCTAACAAATCCTGCAACACCCACTAGTCGGGTTAATTTACAATAAATCAACAAAGATGTTATGGTGGTTCGAACCCCTCAAACAACTGCTACTTTAACACACATGGAGCACATGCACATACAAACAGAGCATGTGGTTCAGTGGACAAAAGGAGAAACAAGTGACCTTGTTTTTTGTTCGCATGTCCGATTTAGATCTATTGGAGAAATCCCGGGTGACCTTCCAGCTGCCGGCAGAGAGGAGCTACCACATTTTCTACCAGATCATCTCCAACAAGAAGCCTGATCTCATTAGTAAAAACTGACATTGGATGATAAGCTGTGATCGGGTGAAGATCACATTGCTGTCATTTGTCTTTCAGAGATGCTGCTGATCACGTCCAATCCTTTCGACTATCCCTTCATTAGCCAAGGCGAGATCTGCGTGCTGAGCATCAATGACGCAGACGAGCTAATGGCCACGGATGTCAGTTTGGAAACTTTCTTCTATGCACTTTTAGTCAAGCGCCAGATGTTAACCAATAGAATTATACGGCCAAAACTTAATGCCATCTCCCTCAGAGTGCCATTGACATCCTGGGCTTCAACGCTGAGGAGAAGCTTGGCATCTACAAGCTGACTGGAGCTGTGATGCATAACGGGAACATGAAGTTCAAGCAGAAGCAGCGCGAGGAACAAGCTGAACCTGACGGCACTGAGGGTAAATTGTGACAAAGAGTTCTTCCATCAGAAGAATGCCAAAAGACCATGTGATTATGGCATGTAATCTCTCATCCCACAGTGGCTGACAAAGTTGCCTACCTCATGGGGTTGAACTCCGCTGACCTGCTCAAGGCTCTTTGCAATCCCAGAGTGAAGGTCGGCAATGAGTATGTCACCAAAGGCCAGACGCCTCAACAGGTACAATTCTATAGGCTCTCCATGTAAAACTACTGCTACTAACCCACCTGGACCGATACCCTGCCATGGTTCTCAGGTGAACAACGCTATGGGCGCCCTGTCCAAAGCTGTGTATGAGAAGCTCTTCCTGTGGATGGTCACCAGGGTCAACCAGCAGCTTGATACCAAACTCCCTAGGCAACATTTTATTGGCGTGTTGGATATCGCAGGATTTGAAATTTTTGAGGTAACCACATACACTCCTCTGTGTAACACATCAAACCACAATTCACCATGATGTCACATGTTCTTCAAGGTGGCAAAAGCCAAAACGTTTTCTAATGCCACGACTAGTCAACAAACCCTTCCATGTCATCTGACCAATGCTAAGTCTTAGATAAAATGGGGGAAATGGCATTAACAAATGATGTCTTTAGTAGTGCGAGGGCATCTCATATTCACAAGGGAAATTTGTTTCAAAAGCCTTCTTCTCTATAACCGTCGTTTGAACATGGGCTGTTTAAGTTGACTCCATACTTAAAAATTCAAACTGTAGAAACATCTTGAGCAAAACAAGAAGAGTCCAATTGCCGCGATTCAACCATTGCGGATCACCATAATGATGAAAGCATATCTGGCGGGTATATCTGGCGGTGCAACCCCAAAGACAACATCATTTGTCACGGATTCAGTTTCAGATCACCAACAATGTTTTTGACCCTGATCTTGACAGTAGCAGTCTGAATTTCTTCAGGTCAGCGTTAGTCACTCATGTTCTGCCACCTGGAAGTATACCCCTGCCTCTAATTTACAAACATTCATCATTAGCCTATTCTCATTGTTGATGAAGTACTGCTGTTGAATTCAGATGAACAGCCTGGAGCAGCTGTGCATCAACTTCACCAACGAGAAGCTTCAGCAGTTCTTCAATCACCACATGTTTGTGCTGGAGCAAGAAGAGTACACCAAGGAAGGCATCGAATGGGAGTTCATTGACTTTGGCCTGGATCTGGCAGCCTGCATTGAGCTCATTGAGAAGGTCCATCACATGCTATCAGTTTGCTGTGTAACCCTCATGAGTTGTTTTTTATAACCCTTTCATGCACCCTGTAACCTGATAACATGATAAGCTGTCCACTGTAGTAACCACTGTACCTGAAAGGGTTAATTGTCTTACTTCCAAAGACTCCGTTGTACGAGTGCATCCTAAATGGTTTACCAGTGCGCTGAAATGTCTTAAAAGTAAGGACAAAGAGTGTACTAGCACATCATACTTATTTTTCACCTCTGTAAGAGAGGAAGCGCTACTGAACTGTCAAAATAAACCAAAAGACATCTGAAATAGTGTGATCGCCAAAGTATTCCAGTAACCCCGTTACATCTACATAACAGGAACATGTCAATGAATCTTGTCAACTTTCCATCATGCAGCCCATGGGCATTTTCTCCATTTTGGAGGAGGAGTGCATGTTTCCAAAGGCCACAGACATGTCCTTCAAGAGCAAACTTTACGACCAACACCAGAGCAAGAACAGCATCTTCCAGAAGCCCAAACCTTCCAAAGGAAAGTCCGAGGCTCATTTCTCACTGATGCACTATGCCGGCACGGTGGACTACAACCTCAGTGGCTGGCTGGAGAAGAACAAGGACCCGCTGAACGACACTGTGGTGCAATTGTACCAAAAATCATCCGTTAAGCTGCTCTCTCAGCTCTTTGCAACATACGCCTCAGCGGACGGTCAGTTCTCTGCCAGTGCATCACAAAAACATTCCAACCAAAACACTCTAATTCATCGTTTGTTTGTCATCGTAGCTGATGGATGCAAGAAAAGCTCCAAGAAAAAGGCTTCATCTTTCCAGACAGTCTCTGCACTTTTCAGGGTAATATGAGTTTCGGAGAAAGACTCTAGTAGAAAACAAAAAACTGATGTGGCGGTACCTTGACTTTTACAAATGCCGCTGTTTAAAAGCTTTTCAAGTTTTGAGCTGTTGCTTGGGCAATTTATTTGCTGTGTGTTGCAAGCCAAAGTTTGTATTACGAGTGAGCTTCAGATTGGCTGCCGCTTGAATGAAGTGTAATGAAGTTTGGAGCAATTAAAGTACTGGAATGCCCTCAAAGGAGAGCCACAGTCGCCGATGCACTTTCAGGTTAGTGTTTAACAGGGTTCAAACTTGGCCACAGAATGAATTCACCTCGCAAGTCAAGGTACCACTATAATTTGATAATCAGTTCATCGATTTTCTGTGCTGAAAATTGTTCACTAAAAATCAATTTAGTTAATCACATTTTTTTTGTCTTTGTTACTGACGTCTTGCAGGAGAATCTCAACAAGCTGATGGCCAACCTCAGGTCCACACATCCACACTTCGTCAGGTGCATCATCCCCAATGAGACAAAGACTCCCGGTAAGGACTATTAAATTATTTCAGTGTGAAGACAAGCTCACACTGGGATTGTCTCACAGGGGCGATGGACCATCATCTGGTTCTGCATCAGCTTCGCTGTAACGGTGTACTGGAAGGAATAAGGATCTGTCGGAAGGGATTTCCCAGTAGAATCCTTTATGGAGACTTCAGACAGAGGTAGCAAATCTGTTCATGTGACATGATCATATACCCCCGCCCCGTTTATCGTACCTTCCACCACACAAGAGACTGTTGTTGGCGGACAGATGCCTCACTCCCAAGCCTTTTTAACCCTTGTCGTTTTTTTCTCCCAAAAGAGTGCTACCATTCACGGGCGTGCCTCGAACTTAGGATATAAATAGTTGTTTCCACAGCACCAATCAGGCTAGATTTGTCCTATATGGGCTAGATGCATGAATTGAATAAGCCATTCGGCAAGCCCCCTCGCTGCCCATCTTTAAAACTTGTCTCAAAATTCATTTGTATTCTTTGGCTTTTGACTCCGCATGACTCAGACTTCATCTTAGTTTTCCTGTTTTGCACTTTCTACTGTCTTTGTCATTAATTTATTGTTTTATTGTTTATTGTTGTATATATGATATTTGCTCCATATACAGCACTTGGTATACAGTGGTGGTTGTTTTAAAGTGCTCTATAAATACAGTTGAGTTGGGTAGCAAAACAGTTACAATTGATTCATTGCACTGAGAATAGAACACAGACAATAAATGAGTACACCTTTTTAGGGGTGCATCACCATTGTGGATTTTTGCTATTCGCAGAAGGGCTGGGTCCCCTGCAAATAGCGGGTAAACACTGTACTGTAAAATCTCATGAAAAACAATCACGAAAACCTAAAAGCTCTGATATAGCGAGGGTGTTCACTGTACTTTTATGGCAGGTACAGGATTCTTAATGCCAGCGCCATCCCTGAGGGACAGTTCATGGACAGTAAGAAGGCGTCCGAGAAACTGCTGTCTTCCATTGACGTGGATCACGCCCAGTACAGATTTGGTCACACAAAGGTACTCATCCAAAAACTTTGCTAGTGGTTATTCTTTTGATCCTGTGATGATGCTCCAAGCTCCCTACAGGTCTTCTTCAAAGTGGGCCTTCTCGGTCTTCTTGAAGAGATGAGGGATGAGCGCCTGGCGGTCTTGATGACCCGCCTCCAGGCTGTGGCCAGAGGTTACGTCACCAGGCTGATGCTCAAGGAGATGGCAAAGAAAAGGTCTTTGAGAGAGACTCATTTCCCTGCTTATAAAAGTATTCAAAAGTGACAACAGAACAATCTGATCCTATAATGGTCACAGTGTGTCTTCAACTGAGACCATTTGTGAATGCTGCCCCCAAACGGCCACAATCTATAAACCTTGACCCTTACTGATGTAATAGTTAATGTTCATATCGATCCATGTAAAAAGTTTCAATTTTTTGCTCCTAAAATGTCCACGGTCTGCACTCTCCAGAGACTCCATTTTCATCGTCCAGTACAATATCCGCTCATTCATGAACGTGAAGAACTGGCCTTGGATGAGGCTCTTTTTCAAGATTAAACCTCTGCTGCGGTGCGCCGAGGCCGAGAAGGAGATGCAGAGTGCAAGAGAGGAAGTTTCACGCCTCAAGGAGGACTTGGCTAGGTCTGAGGCTCGTAGGAAAGAGCTGGAGGAGAAAACTGTGGGGCTCGTCCAGGAAAAGAATGACCTTCACCTTCAAATCCAAGCAGTATGTCAACACACAGCGATCATTTTGGGAAACATCTTAAGTGAAAGTCTTGAAGCTAGTGGAGGTTGACAGCAGAGCTGGGAGACTCCAGTCACATGACCCGCCTACGTTCAGACTTAAAGTTGCAAAATTTTAGGACTCGGGGCTTGCGAATGTAAAACCATAAGAAACTTCAGTTTGAATGTGCACCTGAGAAAGATTGTATGACTTGATTTATGACTTGCTTGGTATTTCGTGTGGACTCCTCTTAACTTGCTTATTTTTTGCCATAGAAACTTAGGACTTGTTTAAAACTTACAAAGTCATACTGGAAGTTACTTCCTCCCAACTCTGGTCGACAGTCACGCAAACAACATAAAGTCCAACTAAATCTCGCATCGCAGGAACGGGAGAACCTGTGTGATGCTGAGGAGAGGTGCGAAGATCTGATCAAAAGCAAGATTCATCTGGAAGCTAAAGTCAAAGAATTCTCAGAGAGGTTGGAAGAGGAAGAGGAGGTCAATGCGGACATTACAGCAAGGAGCCGAAAACTGGAGGATGAAACTTCTCTGCTCAAACGGGACATTGATGATCTGGAGCTGATCATTGCCAAAGTCGAGAGGGAGAAACATGCGATTGAAAATAAGGTTACCAATTCCACCGAAACACCACTGGAAAACACATCTTCCATGAAGCTTGCACCTCAGACATTTCTTCTTCTGTTTTATAGATCAAGAACTTGATGGAGGAGGTAACCATGCTGGAAGAGAACCTGATGAAGTCCTCCAAGGAGTATAAAGCCCTGCAGGAGGTTCACGAACAGATACGTCAAGACCTCCAGGCTGAGGAGGATAAAGTCAACGTTCTGATGAAGACAAAGATTAGGTTGGAGCAACAGGTTGACAATGTAGGTTTCACACAAATTCTGCAGGTCTGCTCCTTGTTGGTGTCTCAATGAGGTGCAGAGTAGTTTATTCTCCATCAGCTGGAGGGCTCACTGGAGCAGGAGAAGAAAGTGAGAGCTGACATAGAGAGATCCAGGAGAAAGCTGGAGGGCGACCTGAAGCTGAGTCAGGAGAATGTCATGGACTTGGAGAATGAGAGGCAGCAGATGGAGGAGAGACTCAACAAGTACAGTGTCTCATACAATATTCTTTATTATGAGAAGGAAGCTCTTGAGATATGCTCTCTCATTTTTGAGGGGATCCTCCAGATAACAACGTACAAAAAGGTCACAAATAATATCGTATTAAGGGTCACTGAGCTTAAAACATGGATACTGGGGGGGTGATATCTGACAATAACCACGTTTTTAGCAAAGACAGTATTTTTAAATAAATGAATCGAACTTTTCTTGGTAAATTATTTTATAAGTAAAGACATGACAGAAATGAACTGCATGTGCTGCTAGCAAAGCTAAACCAGTTGCCCACATGCCAGAGTCAGCTCCTTGCTGAAAAAACTCGACAAGTCTTTTATTTTACAGAAAGGATTTGGTAATCACAAATCTGCAGAACAAAGTGGAGGATGAGCAAGCCCTCGCCACTCAGCTGCAAAAGCAGATAAAAGAGCTCCAGGTGTGACTGCAAATAGTACACAAATAATGCTCACAAAAAGGTTGGGATATTAGGGGTGACATTTAAGGATGCATCTAAAGTGCACGATGACCTTTACAGGTGCACCTAATTTGACCAGCTCTTGCATGCATGTCATATTCAAGAACACATGGTGCAACAAGTACTGAAACATTGAACGGCTGTACATTCAAAAGTTAAGAGGCCGAACAAATGTTACATCTTAGCAACATTTTAATTTCACCCCGTACCTCATATTCCAAACTTGTTGTGAGTTGTGTCTTCTACAAGTGTTCATAATTGATTTAAGAGTAGACAAAAATTTTTCCGTAGGCTCGCATCGAGGAGCTGGAGGAAGAAACAGAATCAGAACGCTCCACCAGGGCTAAAATGGAGAAGCAGAGTTCGGATCTTTGCAGGGAGCTGGAGGAGATCAGCGAGAGGCTGGAGGAGGCCGGAGGAGCCACCACCGCTCAGGTGGAGATGAACAAGAAGCGTGAAACTGAGTTCCAGAGGCTGCGGCGTGACCTGGAGGAGGCCACACTACAGCATGAAGCTGTCACTGCGGCTCTGCGCAAGAAACAGGCGGATACAGTCGCACAGCTCGGAGAACAGATCGACAATCTGCAGAGAATCAAACAAAAGCTGGAGAAGGACAAAAGTGAACTGAAGATGGAGGTTGAGGACATGGCAAGCCACATGGAGATTGTTGTGAAAAGCAAGGTAAGCGACGGGGAGGAGGGTTATGGGACGTTTCCTGTGCTAGAAGATGCTCACAATGTCAAACATTCCAGTCCAACATGGAGAAAACCTGCCGCAACCTTGAAGAGCAAAGTAGCGAGTACAAGACCAAGGTGGATGAAACCCAGAGAGCACTCAGCGACTATGCCATCACCAACGCACGATTGCTGACAGAGAACGGTCAGTTTATGGCACAGGTGACAGAAGTATTCAGAAAAGTACAGATACTTGGGTTAAAAAAAAAAAAAAAGCACTCTGGTAAAAGTATTGATTCAACACCGACACTGACTCGCTTTTTGTACTTCAGCTAAATGAATAAATGCATTACTTTGGCACCATCTTGGTTCCAAGAAACTATGTTGAAGTGAGGTGAGGGTTTTCATTTAGCTTTGCCACCATATTGTAGCATCTATAGGCAATTATAAAACTTTTTGTGGGGGGACTGAATTACTTGCGGTTGACCTTCCCTCTCTCTATTTGCGTCTTCTTTTTGTTGTGTCGTCATCCACGCAGGATAAAGAAAGTAACAAGCCCATTTTGACATTGTGAAATAAGGAGTAGAAAGTATGATTAACTGTTCAAATAAACTAAACGTTTGTCAGAAAAATAAATACTCAAGTAAACTGCAGATACTTGAAAAACCTAATTTAGTAATAAGTACAGAATCCAAGTTGTGTTTTTTTTGGGGTGTTTTGGTAGGTGAACTTTCTCGGCTATTGGAAGAGAAGGAAACTGCGCTTAATTTGATGAACAGAAGCAAAGCAGCCTGCAGTCAACAGATTCAAGAGCTCAAGAGACTTTTGGATGAAGAAATTAAGGTCTGTCATATGGTGGTTTCAGTTGTGTTTTATTTTGGGCGGGCTGAACCAGAGTAATGGCATTTCAATTCATTTCAATTGTCAAAATTGAAAAAGTTATGCGCTTGGTCATGGAACGTATTAAACTCGGAAGTCAAGGTATCACTGTATATGTAAAATTGAAATGAGTTGCATATTGTAATCTGGAGTCAGTTTGGAGAAGGTACACAAGTGTGCTATTCGTTTTTTTGTTTTTTTTCCAGGAAAAAAATGCCCTGGCACACAGTTGTCAGTCTTCCCGCCACGACTGCGAGCTTCTGAGGGAACAATATGAGGAGGAACAAGAAGCGAAAGCCGAACTGCAGCGCTACCTCTCCAAGGCCAACAGTGACATGGCCCATTGGAGAAGCAAATACGAGACAGACGCCATACAGCGCACCGAAGAACTGGAGGAAGCCAAGTGAGTACCAGGCTTTACTTTTTCAAAGAATTTTAGGTTCTGACTTACACACTGCATTGTTGGCAGTGAGTTGCATTTGTTTCCAGTCAGGGTTGGACTCAGCCACATCTGCCCTTTGTCAACAATTCTGATCATGATCCTTATGGATAGAACTTAAAGGTGCAACCAAGGCGCTGAATGGGTCCAGTTTGATGGCCTTAGTATTATGTATTTTCTTTTTTTGTGTGGATGATGCGGTTTTGCTGGTTTCATCCAGCCGTTATCTTTAACTCTCGCTGGAGTGGTTCGCAACTGAGTGTGAAGCAGATGGAATGAGTACCAACATTTCCAAATCTAAGACCATGGTCCTCAGTCGGAAAAGGGTGAAACGCCCTCTCTGGGATGCTGATGAGACACTGCCCCAAGTGGAGGAGTTGAAGTATTAGCAAGTGAAGAAGGGGAAGATTGACAGGTGCATTGGAGCAGCATTTGTAGTACTGCCAACTGCATTGGTCTGTCGCAGTGAAGAAGCAGCTGAGCCAAAAGGCACAGCTCTCGATTTTACCAGTCGATTCATGTTCCCACCCTCACCTATGATCAAAAGCTGTGGGTTGTAATCGCAAAAACAAGAACATGGAAACAAGCTGCTGAAATTAGTTTCCTGTGCATGTTGTCCGGGGCTCTCTAACCTGGGATTAGAGTAAGAAAATGGATGGATTAATGCTTGGCTGTTCCTCTCCAACTATTCCTGCATGATCTACAGGAAGAGACTGGTCCAGCGGCTGCAGGAATCTGAGGAGTCGACAGAGATGGCAAATGCGAAAAGTGCATCCCTGGAGAAGACCAAGCAGAGGCTGCAGGTTGAGGTGGAGGACCTGGTTGTGGAGCTGGAAAGGGCAAATGCAGCCAATGCTTCCTTGGATAAGAAACAGAGAAACTTTGACAAGGTACATTATGTGGCCCTCTGGGGTGATGAAGACTTAAATGACAGACCTGGGCCGATAGTTAAGTTTTTTCTGTTACCTTCTTACTTCTTCTTGTTCTTTCGCATGAGATAATCTTTGGAGGAGGGATGTCAGGGCATTATTGGAAGATGAATATTAATTAGTGATGGTGTAAAGCTCCTCTGTTTAGAAAGGACCTCTCCAGTTTGACATCCAGTAGATGGTTTGGTTCACACCTCTTTTAAGCCACTGGTCTTTTTTGTGAATTTCAAGATTGCTGTCCTCAAAGGATTATCCGTTCTTTCTGATCGGCAGTAGGGAGACTCCTAAACACCAACAATTTAAAAAGAGATCAGTTGCCTCCATTCAACCTTTGCGGATAAGGCTGTTTAATTCCTAATGTTGTAGGTCCTGTCTGACTGGAAGCAGAAGTGTGAGGAGAGTCAGTCAGATCTGGAAGTGTCTCAGAGAGAATCCAGAGCACTGAGCACCGAACTCTTCAAACTAAAGAATTCATACGAAGAGGCTTTAGAGCACCTGGAGAGCATGAAGAGAGATAATAAAAACCTTCAACGTAAGAATAAAACACAACCACGGAATCATCTCATTCTTTCGTGTTGTGGAGATGTAGTGACGTTTACTCTTATTCTATCACTCAGAGGAGATCTCAGACATCAGCGAGAACATTGGACAATCGACAAAAATAATGCACCAGCTGGAGAAAGTTGCAAAGCAAGCTGAGCACGAGAAGAAAGACACTCAGACAGCACTCGAAGAGGTTGAGGTTTGTAGTTCCTTTTTCACTTTTAAGTTTAATCAGTACTATTTACCACTCTTTCTTTTTACACCAGAATGTGCTATTTGACTTAGCATCTGTTCTTCCTGTAGTCCTCTCTGGAACACGAGGAGACCAAAATCCTTCACCTTCAAATGGAGCTGAACCAGATCAAGTCAGAGGTTGACAGAAAAATGGTAGAGAAAGATGAAGAGATGGACCAGATGAAGAGGAACCACCAGAGAACCGTGGACACCCTGCAGAGTGCCCTGGAAGCCGAGACACGCAGCCGCAACGACACCCTCCGGCTGAAGAAGAAGATGGAAGGGGACATAAACGAGATGGAGATTCAGCTCGGCCACGCGAACCGACAAGCTTCTGAGGCCACGAAGCAAATGAGGAACTTGCAAACCCAGTTGAAGGTGTGCATGACAGTTTTGCTCACAGAAACACAAATAGAGCAGCACCTTGACTTCTGAGTTGAATCAGTTCCATAACTCCTTTTCCCCATTGAAAGCAATTTACATGTAACTGCCATTATAGTGATCTAAAACTATTTATAGGGGTTAGGGACCAAGTTCTGCAGTGAATAGCAATAATCTCAGACTGTTGTGTATTTGAACTATGCTCATAACTCAATGGTTAATTATATGTGTGAATTTTTGGCTCACAACAAATATCAAAAAATTGACCAAGCAATGGCGCGAAAAACTCATAAATTGGGCTAATTGTTAGTCAAGGTAACACCTCATTCAATGACTCGGCTGAGTAAATGATTGTGTATGCTCAAGGACACGCAAGTCCACCTGGATGAAGCTCTCCACAATCAGGAGGACATCAAGGACCAACTAGCCATCGCAGAACGCCGTAATGGCCTGATGACAGCCGAGATGGAGGAGGCGATGGCGGCTTTGGAGCAGGCGGAGAGAAGTCGTAAACTGGCTGAGCAGGAATTGAGGGATATTAGCGAGAGGACTCAGTTGCTACAGTCACAGGTGAGGGCACCAGACAATTATCTTCAATACTTATAGTCGCGTATTCACTTATGTCTACACCCACAAAAATTTCTTGAGGTACTGATGCTCAATTGTTAGGTGATGTTAAAATGTAAACAGCATAATAGAGAGGACTTTTTAAAAATATCATTTTTAACAGATTCAAGAAATCTATTGGTCCAATGATTGTCCTTTACTTCCCTTGGGACGAGAACCTTATCTTGGAACAAGTACTTTATTCGGAGTTAGAACCTTCTCTTGGGATAAGAACCTGGTCTCAGGAATAGAACCTTCATTTGACAGTTGCCCATTCTCTCAAGACAAGATCTTTCTCAGAAAGAGAAGAACCTTGTCTCAGGGCTGTTTAATTCATGAAAATTTCCAAAGACATCCACTTAATCTCACCTCAAAGCCAATATCCATAATTTTTTTTGTGAGTGGTGTAAGTAGAAGTCTGACCAATGTTATGATGCAGAATGCAGTTCTCCTGAACTCAAAAAGGAAGATGGAGAGCGAGCTGGCTCAGCTGCAATCAGAGATGGAGGACACAGTCCAGGAAGCAAAGAACACTGATGAGAAGGCCAAGAAAGCCTTCGCAGATGTACAGTAAATGTCGCCATCCTTCTGACATTGGCGCCAGGATATGATTTACAGCTGGCAATCACTTCACGCAGGCTGCCATGATGGCTGAGGACCTGAAGAAGGAGCAGGACACCATCGCGTACTTGGAGAGGATGAAAAAGAACCTGGAGGTGACAGTCAAGGACCTCCAGCAGCGTCTGGATGAGGCTGAAAGTCTTGCCATGAAAGGCGGGAAGAAAGCACTCCAGAAGATGGAGAACCGGGTAAGAAAATCGATACCACAAAAAAACAAACAGAACAAAACAACAAAGTATAGTTGACTGTTTTTCGGTGGAGAACCCTATCACCCATTATTTGCAGCCAAAATACAACGCAGATGAATGAATTTTTCTTTCAGGTCCACGAGTTGGAAAAGGAATTGGAGGCGGAGCAGAAACGTGGCGGCGAGGCCCTGAAAGGAGTCCGCAAATATGAGCGCAAGATTAAAGAGCTGACATTTCGGGTCAGAAGGTCACCGAGGGTGTCGAGTGGTAGGTCCAAAAAAAGTTAATAATTGTCATAATCTTCCTCATCTGTTCCAGGCAGATGAGGAGAAGAAGAACGCGGACAGACTTCAGGATCTGGTTGACAAGCTGCAGCTGAAAGTCAAAGCATACAAACGGCAGAGTGAGGAGGCGGTGAGTGGTCGTACTTCTCCTTAAACACAGAGTGTGAATACTTCTGCCACTTCTGGTCTTTAGGAGGAACAAACCAGCGTCCAGCAGGCCAAGTTCCGAAAGGTGCAGCGCGACTTGGAGGTGGCTGAGGAACGAGCAGATGTCGCCGAGTCGCAGTTGACTAAACTACGAGCAAAGAGCCGCGACATTGTCGGGAAAGTGGAGGAAAAAGATGCCTGATGTGCTAACTTTAACCAAATACAGGCCGAAACTGGCAAAACTGGCGTGTAATGCCGTGGTAAATTGACTTACTTGAGTTTTTCAAATCACGAGACGCATATTGGTTGACTCTCTTTGCTTTGTTTTGCAAGCTAGATTTTGATTTGCAAGTGAGCTTCAGGTGCACTGCTGCATGAGGGAGGTGACAAGAAATGGAACAGTGAAGGTCCTGTAATGCCACGCATGTGGGCAAGATGCAACAAACCCCAGTGCAGCTCTGCTTACCTTTTGACATGCTCGTGTTACACACAGTGTAAAATGGTGTGCAAGCGCTTATTATGTAAATCAGTAGACTTCATAAACATTAGCAAAATTAAGACAGGCTCGCTCACAGATACATTTCCAAAAATGCTCTGATAACTAAAGATTTACTTGGTTGCTTAATTTTCACACTTTCACGACTCCGGACACAACTACTGCACATACAAAAGTCACCTTTAGATATTATGTCCCCTGTAAGGCATTCAGATTGAAACTGTATTCATCTCAGTACACCGGCCATGTCAGAAAAGTTATCAGTCGCAAAATTGTCAGCAGATTAAAATGTTCATTTTTGATGTGGGCATCGTTTGCAGTGGTTGATGGACTGCATTGTATTTGTTTCTGCAACGGTACAAACTACAACAGCAAACGTGTTCACCATCCTTGTGCTCTCCACATTGAATAGACTCCACAAAGATGGAGACATTTTGCTGATGTTTATCTCCAATAAAGACTTTTACAGTGTACCAAGACTCTTGATATAACTGCCACTATATTGTTCTCTCTCTTCCTCCAAAGAGGCACAGAATGCTGGCTTCAAGCTCTTTATTTCTTACTTCCAATTGAAGTGTGCTGGAAAACTATCATATACAGTATAACAGCAGAGTACTAAGAACTGTATACTGAAACACCAACGTAAGGTCTACTAGCTAAATGCTAATATCATGTAATCATGTTCCATTTGTGCTATTTCAGTTGATTTTTTTCGTGAACGTGACAGCATCTGAAACTGAAGAAATTTCAATGAGTCAAATTGGAGAACTCATGGGAATTCAGAACTGTATGAGCTCAATGGTGGATGTTTTCCTCTGAAACCTGACAGAGAAGGATTTCCCAATGTGGCAGACCAAACAAAACAAAAGGGTGGATGAAATACGTTGAGAAATAATCAAGTTATACTGTTTCACTCTAATTTGAAGGTGTTTTTGGTCAGGATTTTTGACAGACGATATGAGACAAAAACGTTCCCCAAAAGGCAAATTTTCATCCAAGCTTCAAAATTCTTGGGCGTTGCACTTTGTTTGGTAATTCTAACCATCATTTTAGGCAAATCATGTCACAACGTTGCTATTTTAACCCACGTGGAACAGCAACACATACAAACAGCACATATAATAATACTCAACAAACATAGCGAAGGACAGCTTAAAAAGGGGTTGACTTCAGGTGAATTTACAAATATGTGCCATCACAGCATCATTAACACTACGTCTCAAGTACCAAAATGAAAGCGTGTGAGGAATCCCAGACGAAGAGTTAAAGTTACGGCCCAGCACCTGTGTCTGTCAGCGGGGAGCTGATGAGCGAGTGGCGACTGATGTTAACGTCCGAGATGAACAAGTAGAGGACAGATGCCGTCGAGTGACCTGTCAGCGTGCTCGCTGATGTCTGTTGGCCAGGAATAAGAACAGGCTGAGCGGCCTGGTGATCCCACGAGCGGACGCACAAACTTAAATGAAGTTGTTGGTTTTGTGGTGAAGTACTGTTTCCAGTACGTTTGTGGACGTTAGATTTGTTTTCATCCTGCACATAGCACATTTGATAAAGGTTCATTTTTGTACATTATTAATGGCTTCTATAATTGCAACGTCATTGTAGTGCTAGAGTTGGATTACGGCGAGGAAGTCCGCACTGAAGTCCCAGGAGCCAAATGGAGGGGCCACCACTGTTGTTCACACTTGTGGTCCTCACCTTGTATTCCTCCCCGCCAAGAGCTTAAGTTTCCTACACTCTCCCCGGCTAAATGTGGCCCACATGTGTTCTTAGCCGACACGCCGTCACCCTCTAACTAGGAAACAAGGCGGGCTGCTAACCTTGGCCCAGGGTTGCAACAAGAAGTCATTCAAGTAGACCAGAATGAAGTCTTTCCCAAGATTTATTCATCCAATGCGCCTATCTGATATCGGAAGACTGCCACAGCACACCATCCAAACAAATAACACAAAAAGTATATTCAAAGGTTTTTAGTAACTCAATTTTCGTACAGTGGACCCCCACAGTCTCCTGGTTCTTCACCTGTGCATTCAGCTACTGATTGATGTTTTTTGTTTTTTGTTTTTTATGTGTGTTGCTATCCACTGCCATCCGTGGTGATTATTTTGTTCATGACTAAAGACTAATAAAAAAATCATAGGTTAGCATTATTTGTGCATGGAAAGGTTAATAAACGATATCTGCTCATACATCATCCTGTTTTTTTGTTAGGTGGTGGTGAGGCCTGTATTGTACTTCTTGGCTCAAGCCACCATGGGTTCTTGAAATGCTTCTGACCTTGGTTTTTACCCTGGATTCAAGGACCACCTGCTTTCTTGGATTTAGAGGCCTTAGCTTCCGGCCGTGGTCACAATGACAATTATGCGTTCTCCCAAAACGAACATCACAAAGTCAAACTTTGGAACACAACCACTGGCATCTAGCGCAGACCCAAAGACACAAGGGTAAGAGAATCATCAGGACAAATCAGTCCTCCCAGGATTTAATGGGCTATTTTATGTCTGTTGTGGCAAACTGGAAAACTGCAATACATATTGGATGGTGAAAGTGCAATCGCAATTTTGCTCTGAAAATTAAATAAGCTTACATTTTGAAATAGGTGTACTTTTTCCTTTTACTGAAGTTAATGCTGACATAGGGCTGGTGCTATCCAGTATTTTTACAACCAAAAATTCTACCGACTATCCTGTACACTGATCAGGTACAAGTTGAGTTCGCATTGTAAAAAAAAAAAAAAAAAAAAAAAACACTCTTTCTGAAACTAAGAGTAAATAGAGAAACATTTGAAAAGTATCCATCAGATTTGCAGTTTAGCACTGCTGACTCAAATGTGGGCGTTTTTGTCCTATTGAAATCCATCAAAACTATTTTGTAATTCACCCCAGTGAATCATAAAATTTGGAGAAAATGGGTTTCGGTCGGGACTCGAAAATTTTAATTTTTTTTTTGTTTCGTATATCATTGAGTTTTGGAGAAGAAAGTCAAACACAAATACAAAACACTCACAAGGTGCAAACAGACACAAAGGCACACATGATTATTGCATTGTGTTTTGGGCATAATTACACTTCACAAAATCAGTTTCTTTCTTTACATTCTATTTCGTTAGGTTTTTCTATTTACATGCATCAGAGGGAGTTGACATTATTATTACAAAAACCTGGAAAAAAAACCCTGTTTTTAGGGGGGTGGATTTGAATGGCATTTCAATGGGTAACATGAATTTGATATAAGGAGTATATTAAAGCCAAGATGTCAATGAAGTAGCCCATGACAGCAGCGAGTGGACATAAAAATAGAGGTGAAGGATCATCACCTGTTGCCAAAGACGTCTTGCTGTTAAGATCCCGGAAGAACCATTTTAAGATGGCTAAGATGGGTAATGCGGCCGGATTGACATTAGAAAAGTCACATTGCCAAGTTTGGAATGTCTGCTTTGGCTTGTCCTGCACATGATGCCGATAAAAGAAAGCTCCTGCTTTCCACTCATTGACTCACGCTGAAACTTCTCGTTCAGACCGGTGACCCAAAGTACAGCTGACTGCGTCCCTCTGACACTTAGGTGAGTTGATTCGAAACCTCAGTTGTGGGGGTCTGGATTTTACTTGGGCATTTATTTTTCGGACGACTTATTTTTACTTCCTGTTCTTCTAAAAATATATTAGTACTTTCTAATCCTTTTTTTTAAGTCAAAAGAGGCTCTTTCCGTTTTTCAACTTCTCTGGGTGACGACACGGCATAAAAGGTATTTCATTGCAAAGTTAAATCAATGCTTCCAGATCATTTGTATTAATTCTTTTCAGTTTCAATTAGCAATCGAAAAGTAAAAAACTCATTTTTTGATTTTTGGTCAAATTGAACCCAAAACATGAAAAACTACCTGACTTTATTTCATTTTTTTCAGTAATGCAGCTGGACTGATGCTTGAATATCAAAATCAAACCCAGTCCGGTGGCCTGTTTTTCAGTTTCGTATGAATGGAATCAGCCAGTTGTTAGATATTATGCACTAGAATGAAAAGCAAATGATTCACACATGGATTGAAGTCAAACAAGGTTGAAATCTTGGGGGTCTTAAAATAAAGAAAAAAGGAGAGCAGCAACATAGAGGAATGTTAGTTCGAGAACATTAATGACCAAGATGCAAAGCTATGGGAACACATTTTGATAGCATTAAAGCCTGCGTTAATAACGAAGGAAATTTATCTTTTCATTGTGCCAGTTATCTAAATAGGTATTGTATAATTGACAGCAAAAATTCATTTTTACTACTGTCGATTTCAGAGGCTGTACTTTTGCAAAACTTTAATCGAACTAAAGAAGTTGAATCAGCATCAGTCTTTTTTTTTTTTTTTTTTTTTTAAATCAAAGAATTCATACGCTGAGCTAAGTCGAGAGTGGGAATGCTTTTGCAAAACCTTACTGTTAATTTCTCTACTGTGATGTGCTTTTGGCACTCTGACGTTTTTGCCTACAGGCGTCGCCATGAGCAGTGATGCGGAGATGGCCCAATATGGGCCGGCCTCCATATTTCTGCGCAAACCTGAGAAGGAGCGCATCGAGGCACAGAGCCGGCCATTTGACGCCAAGACTGCCTGCTTTGTGCCGGATCCCAAGGACCTGTATATCCGAGGTGTTGTCCAAAAGAAAGAAGGTGGCAAAGCCACTGTGAAGACGGAATCAAATGAGGTGATGAAAAGGGACACATCGTTCTGAATGAATTGTATCTAAAAGTGTTCCATATACAACCAATTTATTATTATTTTATAGATTTCATATACACCCATCCATCCATTTTCCGATCCGCTTTATCCTTACAAGGGTCACTGGGGGTGCCGGAGCTGGAATCGAACCCGGTAACTCTGCACTGTGAGGTCGACGTGCTCACCACTTGACCATGGGGCCGATTTCATATACATATGAGTGGAAATGTTCAGGGATTAAACAGCTAAATTAAATTTCAATCTGAAATTTCAACGCAAAGCCCAAAATCCAGCCAATGTTAGTCAGGCAGCCCGGTGGTCAACAGTTCAGGGTGTCCCCCACCTAAAGCCCGAAGACAGCTGGGAGAGGCTCCAGTACGCCCGTAACCGTCGTGGGGATAATCGGATTAGAAAATGGTTGGATGGATGTATTTAGTCATTATATTCTGTCTACTGTAGACTGTAACAGTCACAGAAGAAGACTGTCACCCCATGAATCCTCCAAAGTATGACAAGATCGAGGACATGGCCATGATGACGCACCTCAACGAGCCGTCTGTGCTGTTTAACCTCAAAGATCGTTATGCAGCGTGGATGATATACGTGAGTTTGGAGCTGCGCCTGAGGCCTTTGCAAGATTTCCAGCATTTGGCTCGAAACTGACGCAACTTGCCACCCTCCCCCAGACCTACTCCGGACTCTTCTGTGTGACTGTGAATCCGTACAAGTGGCTGCCGGTGTATGACCCGCAAGTGGTGTCAGCCTACAGGGGCAAGAAG